AACACACACGTATGCGCAGGAATCCAGAATGCACGGCGCACAGACACCGTAGCGAATGCCGCAGGGTCACATTTTGAGAGCGCCGATACATGCAGAAATGCGTCCACACACAGGACCTGACCATAATGACTACCGCATGGCCGCACTGCATTGTCAACACACACACGAACGGAGCAGCTGAAGCGCAAGCTGCTGCTGCGAGTCATCAACTTCTACTATAGCAGGATTTCAAGGAGCTGGAACATTTTGGTGGACATTAAGAAACTACAGCATTTATCAGTTCATTTAAAAATCAAAGTCACATATGTGCAACGTTTTCTCAATGAAAAGAATCCCTTCCTGCCGTAAAATGGCTTAGATGAAAACCCTGCTGCTTTCTTAAGAATCCGTCAATTTATGTCCTTATTCCACCCACCCTTCCCCATCGCTGCAGCTCAAGCGCACCAGCTCACCACAAGCACTGTAAAGCTACTCTACGCTACTCAATAGCAAGCTCTAATATTGGAGTAAGTCAGCCAGACATGTTGGAAGCCAATTCTGAAGAAGGCTAATGATACAGAAAGCCAGGTGACAGGATTGGCTCTTTAGGTTTGTTACTTATGAAGCCCTGAAAGTGTGACACCATGTTTTTGAGACGGCTGTTTGTAAGCTGCAGTTTCAAGCTGGAAATGGTCCGTCATGTCAACATGGTCAAAAATGAGATTTTTATGAGAGGGCGTCTTTAATATTAAACTTAGCACCATGATGTTGTCTCCGTTATGCCATGTTGTACTTTACCCTAATTTGTTGGCCTTCGTAATGCAGTATGTGGAGTTCATTCTGGTTTCTTAACAATGTATACTGTAAAATGTACTATATGACCATAAATACGAGACATAAAACACTATGACCAACTTTTACCAACACTTTTACAACCAACTCTCTCTCTATCTAATGTCTTCCAGCCCCTCCTGGGTGATCCGAGGTGTTTCCAGGCCAGATGAGATACGTAGCCCCTCGGGCAGGTTCTGGGTCTACAATGGGGTCTCCTCCCAGCTGGACACGCCCGGAAGATTTACAAAGAAAGGTGTGCAGGAGGCGTCGTAACCAGATGCTGAAGCCACCTCAGCCGGCTTCTTTTGATTCGAAGAAGCAGCGACTCTGATCCAAAGTCGTCATGTTGTTTCTCAGTCAAAGTCCAGCCACCTTACAGACAGAACTCATTTCGGTTGCCTGTGGCCATAATCTCATTTCTCTCTTTGCAGCGTAAAAAATGTTCCAAGAAATAACTTTTAAATTAGGTTCAGCACTCCTCTGTCTGCTGTGATGCCAGCAGATGGTTTATTGGGAGTATACACAACTAGAGCTGCAAATAAAGCTAGTTTGCATTACAGATTGAGCTGATTACAGATTAATCCTGTGGTTGATGAAATGTCAGAAAACCGTGAATCAAAAGTTTCCAAAGAACTGGATAGTATTCTCAAATGTCTTGTTTTGTCTGGCCAACAGTCAAAAACGTAATTTATGATGATCCAAAGCAGAAAAGAGGAGCAGAGCCTCACATTGGAGAGGTTAAACCAGCGAATGTAATAAGATTTTGATTTACCATCCCTGTGCAGCATCACATGTCTGCAAATCTGAAAAGTAAAATCAGAGTATAACAAAAATGCCAGAGTTGTTAAACCAAAGCAGAGCTCCACTGAAAACTTTACATGGCTCTTTTCCTGCTGAAGTTCACACACACACACACACACACACACACACACACACACACAAACATCAGGAGTGAAGCTGACTGCCGCACTGGGAGGAATTCCCAGGATTCATGTCAGCCAATCACAGATCGGCGTTTAAAATACTGGCTCTTCAACTGGAGAGCAGAAGAGGCCATCCTCTTCACATGGACCACCGTCTGTGTGTGTGAACTCAGTCATTAGTGCTCGAAGAAGCGTAAAACACACACATGTTACACACTCACATAACACTCTGAGTGTGGAGGACCCTCCTCCTGAGACACTTAGTGCGTCTCACATTTGAACCTGTCTTCGTGGTGATTTCCACTAAATAATGAGTAAAAATCTCTAAATTTGCAACATCATTTTCATTAAATCCAAGAACATTTCCCCTTCTTTCCTCATCTGTTGTGTCTGAACATATGGAAAACACACACACACAGACTTTACAATACACTCTTGAATGACCTTGAGGACCCATTTGTGCTCGCAGACAGCCCATCTTCTCAAATGTCTAGCGTGGAGACACATACACAAACTCACTTACTCCCCTTCCCTAATTACCGAGTCCCGAGGGACGAGACACTCAAGCAGCGCTTCGCTTAAAGAAAAGGTCTTTCTCACCACTTAGAGGGCAGACAGGCAGACAGAGACAAAGAGGGAAATGAACAATGAGAAGATGTTTAGAATACAGATTTGATGGCACCACCTATAAGAACTGCTTCACTCTGCTTACATGTTGTTGCTGAGCTAGTTTGGTGCAGTTGCTTGTAAAGTTGCTCATCAGGTCTTAAGTGAACAAAATGCAAAAAAATAAAGTGTAAATGGTGCAAGTGAAAAACAACGTCATGAAAGAAGCAGTGAAGGGAGGGAAGAGAAAGAACAGAAGTTGACTTGGTGGACGGGAGGGAGGAGGAAGAGAGATTATCTCTCTCTAATGGCTAACTTGTTGACAGCAACACTTTTCAGCACCCCTATCTACACATCTAATGTTACTATCTACCCTCACACACACACACACACAGACACACAGACACACACACTTCCTCTCCTCTTGCAGGGTTTATCAGGCCTGCTGTCAGTTCACTCCACAATTCATGTGGGTTCCAGGCTTTAAAGCCATGAAAAACGCCAAGCGAGCCGGAGACGTCACCGCCAGAGACGACCTCCACGTTCTCTCGGCTCCTCTGCAGCCGTCGCATGTTGAAAATGAATCTGACGGTCTCGCGTTCTCCCTCCTCATAAACAAGAAGACTACTCAAACACATTTTCTACAAGATGTCTGCTTACTTTTCTGAACGTACATCCCTTCATTACTGTCTTTTCCCGTCTGACTGTCTTTGTGTTTTTGGCTACTCTGAGAAAGACTCTGAAGGACGTTGTCTGACTAAGTGATCGATGTTTTGGGGTTTATATTTTAACTTTTCGCTGATTTTAGGCAAAATGTATGCAGAACACATTTAACTGCAGATACCTTAGACCCAGCTTCTTATCTTTAAATAGGTTTTGGGATCGTAGAGTGTTTGCTAGTCTTACAGAGTGGTGCTGGGGTCAGAGGTCACCATAAAACAGACATAAACACAAACATATACATTAAAGCCCAAACAACACTGGAGTTTTGGGGTCAATACTGATTTTCAGGAGTAAAAAGTTTGAATACTTATAGATTTAACTTGTTTAGAGTCATATTAAAAAGGGAAATGACGGCGTCTTTGTACAGCAATGTGCTTCACTAATTAGCTGAAGACAAAACTTGACTCTGCATCACCGTCTGCTCTGCTGCTCTGCTGCATGTGCTGCAGACAGAGCTGAGAGGGTTGTAATCAATGAAATCAGAGACCCTCGACTGGACAAATTGTGATAACACAGTTTCAACATTATGTCAAGTATAAAAACAGGCGAATACAGTTTTCATATTAGTGCATATTAAACAACATTTACACAACACAGCGACATGATTGGCCAATAACATACCACCAGGTTCTAATAAACAGTGCAGACAGTCACAACTGTTTTGTCTCTTTCACTCCAACTTTTAAAGACATTTAAGAATAGAATAGAACAGAATAGAACTTTACTGATTCTATTCTTAAATGTCTTTAAAAGTATTTTCATACATATTTCATATTTAAGAGTATTTTCATATTTTTGCAAAAATATTTAGACCCACATGTTTGACTGTAAATCATTCATAGGTTCCAAAAACCAAACCAAAGTCCATACTTTAAACACACAGCACTCAAGCTGAGTTTGTGTGAACACATTAAATGACTGTATCTTGCATTCCTCCTCATGTCTGCACAAACTTCTTCCCCACTTCACCCTCAGAAACTATAGGATGTCAACACTCCGCTTTGATTTCTGACCTTTACCTGTTCGCTGCCTCTCTCTGACCTCCAGCCGCCACAGTAAAATTCACAAAGCCACATCTAATAAAACACACATTCGGGCCAATAAAGTAACACCCCGGACCATCTGTTATCTGTAAGCGTCTCACACAGAATGTGCAGATCCTCCTTCGGTGTCACCGAAACAGTTGTGTGTTTATAATACCTGCCAAACTAAAAAAGAAAAGGTGAACTTGGTCCCTCAGAGCTGCAGTCAGACTGGGATGCCAGAGAGCCTCTGGGCCAGATGAAGGCAGAGCAATTTCTCTATACTGAGAGAAACATTTGTGCAACATTTCGACCAAAATAGTCCTGGTCTCCACCGCAAAGCAAGAGAACTGCCTTCATTTAGGCCGATGGGGTTGGCAGACACACAGACATACACACACACTGTCATATGGGAGCCAAAGTCATGAAATAAGCCCATTCTGTAAGTAGACTGTGACAACGGAAACATTGTGGGGACAAAACGTCTTCAAGTTCAAATGGAACAAAGTCCAAAACCTTTTGACTTCAGATGTGTGTGTGTGTCTGTCTGTGTTAGTGTGTGTTAGTGTGTGTGTGTGTGTCCTGGTCAGAGCGCGCAAAGTTGCTCTCACAGCAGAGTGTTCAAGTTCAAAGCGGTCGTTTAAATCCAATCACTCTTGTAAAGCTGAACTTATGATGAAGTTTGGGACCAAAATGAGCCACAAAAAGTCACAGAAAATATGAAAAACACGCTCAAAAGCAACTGCAAAGTGTCACAAAGTTGGAAAAATGTGCGTGATTGTTTTGTTTTTTGCATGTTTTTAACTGACATGTGGATTTAAAGTGTGTATTTTACATGCAGTGACCTTGTTCTGCTTCATAAAACGTCCTCTTTTGAAATCAGTCATAAAATTAAAAAAAAAACGCTTCTTACCTGATCTGCTGTTCTCGAAGAACGTCAGCTCTCCAAGAAAACTTTCTCCTTCGACCATCCGAAGCGCTCAAGACCGAAAAAGTGTTCCTCTCAGCCCGGCTGGGAAACGTCCGACAGATCGGTGTCTGTGTGAACCAGCAGCCTGCTCCAGAGCGCACAAACAAGAGCCACAACTTCTCCAAAATGTCACTTTTTTTTCTTTTTTTTTTTGGACTCTCTGAATGCCCTTCCTCCTCGATGTCACGAGAAAGTCCCGGTTTGAATCACCAAAAACATCGATTTGTGGAGGTTTAACGCAGCTCCGGACCTGTCAGCGTCCAAAAGAAAAGTCCCAACTTGGAGTGAAAAAAAAGTGTAGAAATTAAAGTCGGCGCACGTTTTTTGGATCCGCTGTGCGCGCTGTGTTCTTCAGCAACAGGTGTCAGAAATAAAGTGAGATTTCTTCACGGCCATCACAAGTTTCCAAACGCTCTCCAAAACTAATTACGCACGCAGGGAAAAAAGGAGGAGGAAGAGGAGGAGGAGGAGGAGGAGGGGGGAAGCTCTCCAAAGCTATCCAAAGTTTTGACGCGTCGAGAAACAGAGCGAGAAGTTGGAGACACACACAGAGAGAAAAAGAGCGAGAGGAGTGAAACAAAAGAGCAGAGAGAGCACCGGGTCTCCTGCAGGAGTCTGATGTGGAAACTGACCGCCTTCCACCGGCGGAGGGGAGGGCGGCTTTACGCAGACACAGGAGGGACGAGAAGGTGCGTCTCTGTGGACAGTGGACATAAACCGTGGGGGTGAAGAAAGAAAGAAAAAAAAAAGTTTGTCAGGAGTGGGATTTGAACCCACGCCTCCATTTGGAGACCAGAAGTCCCGTCACACAGGAAGGAGATCACCTTGAGTCTGGCGCCTTAGACCGCTCGGCCATCCTGACAACATGCAGCAGCAGAACGCAGCTGGAGATCAGAAAACTACAAAGACACGACCTGTTTATGAGGCTAGTGTAGGTCGATAGTGCTGTCAAAATTGAGTAGAATTAGATTGGATAGAACTTTACGCAGTTTATGATCGATCTATCCATGAACTCACATAGAAGATGTCCCTTTGTTCCCGCTGAATGAAACACACCTGAGTGCAGTTATAGTTACAGGTGGTAATTAAAGCATTCCTGTTCACTCTGTATGCTAATGCCAGTTATATTTGGCAAACAGAGGGAAATGTACAGTTTGTTTTAGCATTTTTTAAACCATAATTTGCGCGTAAAAAACTTGTCAGAAGTGGGATTTGAACCCACGCCTCCATTTGGAGACCAGAAGTCCCATTTACTCAGGAAGGAGTCCATCCTTGAGTCTGGCGCCTTAGACCGCTCGGCCATCCTGACAACATGCAGCAGCAGGACGCAGCTGGAGATCAGAAAACTACAAAGACACTAACTGTTTATGAGGCTAGTGTGGGCCGATCATGCCATCAAAATGAAGTAGAATTAGATTAGATAGAACTTTACGCAGTTTGTGATCGATCTGTCCACGAACTCACACAGAAGATGTCCTTTTGTTCCAGGTGAATGAAACACACCTGAGTGTAGTTATAGTTACAGGTGGTAATTAAAGCGTTCCTGCTCACTCTGTATGCTAATGCCAGTTATATTTGACAAACAGAGGGAAATTTGCAGTTCCTTTTAGTATAATTAAACCGTCATTTACGCATAAAAAAAACTTGTCAGAAGTGGGATTTGAACTCACGCCTCCATTTGGAGACCAGAAGTCCCATTTACTGTGGAAGGAGTCCATCCTTGAGTCTGGCGCCTTAGACCACTCGGCCATCCTGACAACTACGCTCCCAGGTGTAACTCAGAAAACCACAAAGACACTACCTGTTTATGAGGTCTGCATAGACTGATAATGCCGTCAAAGTTAAGTATAATGACACAGTTTAAGATCGATGTATCCATGAACTCACATAGAAGATGTCAGCCGCCTTTCGTTACAGCTCAATGAAACACACCTGAGCATTTATTAACAGGTGGTAATTAAAGCATTCCTGCTCACTCTGCATGCTAATGCCGGTTATATTTGACAAACAGAGGGAAATATACAGTTTTTTTTAGAGTAATAAAAACAAAGTTGAACATAAAAATGTTTGTCAGAAGTGGGATTTGAACCCACGCCTCCATTTGGAGACCAGAAGTCCCATTTGCTCAGGAAGGAGTCCATCCTTGAGTCTGGCGCCTTAGACCACTCGGCCATCCTGACAACTTACAGTCTACGTTTCACCAAATCCAATCCCATTTCAGAAAAGTCGAAGCACTTGTCAAAATGCTATATTATATATGTATTCTTTACTCGGTAGGCCCCATCCTTCTGTTCTACACACATAGCATCAACATGTAGCAAAACATGGAGTGAAATGTAAGAGTTCAGGTCAGAATCTCTCTCCTGCTACAGCAACTGATTGTATCTTGATCTTTTCTGACTTTTTTCTGACTGTTTTGTATGATTACAAAAGGGTTAAATTTAGCCGACTGAGTACAAAAACATTTTTGAGCTGTTTTCAGTGGTGATAAATGTTCGACCACTGAGTTACTCCACATGCGAGTCACATGTGGAGTAAGAGACAATGATCAGAAAGTTTGAGCAGCACTTCTTTGACCAGTGGCTATAAAAGTCCACCTTCAAATGCAGCTTTATCCAGATAATACAATGCCACGAGAGGAAAAGAGGAAGAAGAGAACGAGCTGCTGGCAGGTCAGTTAGAGTCGTAGCACTCGACTGTCCACACCTTCACCATTTGTTCAAGTTCAGACAACTCTAGATGGATGTGACTGACAACATGTTTCCTAAAATGTCCACCAACCTCGACGAACTCTTCAGGAAGAGTCACACAACATTCTACATTATTTCCGGTACGGTGTTTGTTTCATGACGTCCATTCTGTTGTAGAGATGCTGTGTGTTGGGAGCATCTATTCCTCTATGCTAAAAAGAACGGACAGAGTTTCATAAAACATCACATGCTGCGTTTAGAGTTTAGTTCAGTAAATAAGGGTGCAGGTCAGGGAACTGTCTCATCAGAATTTCCCCTCTCGCCATGCTAAATGATTCTGCAGCAGCGTTGGCTGAACAAAAACTCCCAAAAATGAACGATTTTTTACCAACCGAGCGGCTTCAAGTCAAATCTCACAGACGTGAAGCGAAACCGTGTGACAGCCGGTTAACGCCGCCTCACTGGTGCATTTAGCTCGCTTTTAATCATAAGATTTGCACATGTTCACACAGAAGCACAGGGCCACGGTTTTCTATCTGGGGCGGCACAACGGGGATGAAGTGCAGAGGGTGACATCTGAGCAGGATTTGAACTTTGCTCGGAAAGTTCTGCCACCCATGACGAGTCAGCCAACCTGACAGCTGAGGGTTTAAAGGTGAGCAAAGTCGGTGTGAACGCTTCAAAAAGAGCCTCTGCCACGTCGGAGCTTCTGCTGGCGTCGTGCACCCCAACCTGAATCCGCCTGCTTCGATCGCTTTAAGATGAAATAAAGGTGACAGAAATGGACGGGCAGAAGAGGAGTAGAAGAGGAAAATGTCATCAGCGTTGGAGGATGTTTGGGCTGTCAGTGGCTAACAGCTTATTTTAGGAGCTCCACTGCTCTCACATTGTTTTTATTTCCTCTCTCAAGTTTTTCCTAGAGCTCACTGCCTCCTTCTGTCCCTTCCATCTTGCCAGTTTTCTCCATCTACTCCTCCCTTCCTCTTTCCTCCATTCATCCCTCCTAATTTATTTGCTTTACAAGCCGTTTATTAGACACAATAAGGCCAAAATCTGCAAAAAGCAAACCAACAAGAAACAACTTCATGCCTTCAGACCGCACCATTAATTATTTAGCATGAAAACATCCAACATGCCCCCGAATGTGCGCTTTAAAGCCGAGCTGCTGTTTGTTTTGGTCTCGGCGCTCCTTCTCCCCTCTCTCTGTTTTCTCTTTCTCTCCATCACCCCTCTCCTTCTTTTTCTTTTCAGTCATGTGTGATGTGATGTGCGATGATTGAAACCACATCGTCCCAAAGCCAACGTAAGCCCTCCCCGCTTCCGCTGCAGTCACTCAATTTTTATTTCTCCTCCCGGCTCCTCGGTCCTCCTCTGAACACATTCATTATATATGGAAAGACTTGCGCTGTATGTGGATATACTTACACGTGTTCAGATGTTATCTCAAGGACATCTGTGCTTCTTTTTTTTGTGTGTTTTTTTGTACTGGGAAACACTGATATCAGCAGGATCTTATCAATGCTTAATCTCTGCAAAGAAAGGTGTGGAGGGAGACAAAGATATGGAAACAAATTGAAAAGAAAAGGGGCTAAAACTTCACAAAAATCATTACGAATCCAAAACACGACACCATTACAGAGCTTATTTCTTTAACTGCATTAGGCCACAAGTCAAATCATAACTTAGTGAAAAGTTTCCAGAAACGTTGAGGAGTTGTCAGTTTTATGTGTGGCTAACTCCTCCCCTCTGGTGCTCCCAGCAGGATAAAACAAACACAACTTCTGTGTCTGTCATACTCTATCTGCAGTGTTGGAGTCATTACTTAAAAACCAATGATTGATTAGACGTTACTTGTTACTTTAAAAAAACAAAAAATAATGCATGACTTTGCTTATTTCGTCCTTGTAAAAAAAAAAACTTGTGAGACTTCTGACTAACTTGCATTCCTCTGGAGCATCACCTGAGATGCACTTATGTGAAATTGCCAGTTAACAATAAGGCATTAAACAACATATAAATGTCCTAACAGAGCAGCATCGATCCTGATTCCGATAATGAGAACATACACAAAGTCTTTTATTTATTCCTACAAAGTTGCTTAAAACCAGCCCAAAGAGCACCTCATATAAAAAAGTTATGGTGTGAATGAGTTGCTGCAACTCCAGAGTCACTGTTCCAGTGGGACATACTGACTCTAAATAAGACTAGTGACTGTAGCGTACGGTGGTCGACGGGTCACATGATGTGCAAAGACAGAAAAGCTCTGCAAAAAGAAAACGTTGCATCTCCAGTCACACAACAGAAGTACCACAGGCCTATAGGGGCAGTTTTTAAGTCTTTAGCTTTTCAGTCACTGTGATTATATGGGTGCTGAAGTGGTGTTTTACTACGTCTTCCTGTGTTGTCTCTGGTATTTATGTTTATCCATGGAGACGAGAGAATTCTTTTCATACAGCTTTTCCCTCAACTAATGTTGTTGCTCACTCCTGCCCCTAGAGGCCTGTTTCTGTTTATGCAACACATTCATGTACATGCAGCTCATTTGTGTATATGCACCTCATTTGCCCCCATCGGCCACCGAAATTATGTGACATCAGAATTTACTGTAGGATAGGTATGCTTGTGTTACTTCAATACAGACAAATGTAGTGTGATTACAGTAATACGTTACCACCAACACCACATACATGAGAACTGTTTTGTATTGATTTGTTGACATTTTTGTTTTTACTGTGCTGTCCTCTTTGCTTTGAATAAATCCATCTGCTTCTCTGTGTTGCACAATAACTTTTGTTTCTGACAATTACACTCTACAAAGACAAGCCAGGTCTGCATCCAATAATCATTCTGATTGTACTGCTGTCTCAGTCAATTCAGCATCGCCTACAACATTTCAGAAAATATCTGAGAATGCAATGTGAAACCTTCAACAAAGCCCAACTGTATTAAATGCACCCTGATTAAAAGAACAAAAACCTGTAACCAACTAATGTTTGGCTGTTTTGCTTGGTGTGTATACGACATATCTGACTATGCAGGTTAACAAGAGTCCAAAGAGTTTCAGCAGGAAGCAACTGGATCGATTTGGTCAGCCCCAAATTACATAACTAATGACCTATTAATGCCTCCAGTTTGGAATTTTTCTTAAGAATGACTCAAGATGGTAACGGAGGGGGAAAATTTAAGGGGAAGGAATCTCAAGACTGCATTATAGGAACATGGTAAGTGGTGTCATACACCCCTAATCTGGTAAAAGATGGTTTATCCAGTTGAACATACATGACTTGTTTCACTCTTTTCAAACCATCTGTCTTCTCTGTGCAGAAAATAAACACTGCTGTCCCTAAAAGACTGTTTCATGTCCTTTAGATGCAGGTGAACTGCATAGTCTTGTCCTGAGAAGTCGGCTCTCATCTATTATAACATGCATTTGTGGCCCATGCAACAGATTCCTTCATTCATTGCAACTTGAGACAATGTTGTACATAAGCAGCAGTCAATAACGCAGAGGGTTTAGTATGTATTGTATATATAGACTTTCTTGTTCTCTCATGTGTCTTCAGGGCTCGACATCGTTTTACATATATTCAAAATGTGAGTAGTTGAACAGTGTTGCAGCAAACTCGCAGCCAAAACTCATCTTTCAAGCTAAAACAACACACGTGATGCAGGAGATTTAGGTTTTAGAAAGATTTTCTTATTGTTTGACTATTTCCAGCGAGTAAAGCCATATTTAAGTCATTTTCAAATTGCGTAAATACCTCGAGCTCAACAGTGAAGGCAACTTAGGCCGTGTTTGGTGTAAATAAATCCTAAATCTTCTATAAATCTTCATTGCTGCATATGTTTGATGTTTAAATGTGTAATTTTATGCATGCTGCAACACAGAGCTACACCACATTCTGCTCCGTCTGAGAGCTACAGCAGAGACGAGATGATGAAATGATGTCCAGTGCTCGGCCGACTGTGTCCCCACTGTTGTCTGCCTCGCTCTCCCCGCCTCTCTCACTTTCCTCTATCGCATAAATCAGAGAGTCATACAGGCGTATCTCTTCCTCCTCCTCTTTCTCGCTCTGTCCATCCTCTCCTGTCTCCCTCCACTGGCTTTTATTAGGACAGTAGATGGGGAAAGCAGAAGCGATCGTCTGCACAAGCCCAGGTACCGACACATGAGCAGACACACGTACGAAGACCATATGTGAAGGTAAACAGCAGAACATACTGCGTGCTGCGTTTACAGACTGTCGGGAGCTGGTTCTCAGAGTGTTGTGTGTGAAAAACCTGATGATGTTTTGATCCCTGCGTGGAAATTCTTCGCATTGTGGGGTCGAAGGTCAAGGTCAGTCGAGCTGGGTGAGTCTGTTAAACCAGATTTTCTGATTAAATACGTCTCCTTACTGAGCTTATATGCAAGATGCAAACATTAATGAAGTGTGTGTTTGTGTGTCTCTCTCCTGTCTACATTAATACACAAGAAGTCGTTGAAAAGTTGCTGATCAAGTCAAGTTGAAGCCTGCCAAATACACTCATTTGACATATGTTTTTGAAGAATGGTGTGGCTGGAGTTTGTAGAAAAGAACTGGAACAGGATGAGGCCTTTCTAAAGGATGCTGGTCGAGATAGAGAGGACCGCCGTATGGAATAATGTCATTATTGTGGGCGGACGGGAAAATAAACCATTCATGACAAGATAAGAGGCACAGTTTAGTCTCCATGTGAACAAAGAAGATAGAGAGAACGAAGGAGGCAAAGGAAAGCAGAGGTCAGAAAGAGTAAGCAAAGGAAACAAAAGGGAAAAAGCTCCATCTTGATCATTTGGTCATTTTACAGAAATACAAATGCACCCCAGTCACAAACACAAAGCACAGTGAGGGAAGATGAATTAGAGGGTGAGAAAGGACATTTCTTTGACACAAAATGAAGCTTGTTTTTTATGACTTTCCATCCTTTTGTTGATCCATTTTCGTCTGCTTATCCGAGGCAGGGTTTAAGCAGGGCATTTCAGATGTCCTTCCACCCAGCAATGCTTTCCAGTTGCTCCAAGGGGATCCCAAGGTGTTGGGAGATTTGTTATCCCTCCAGGGAGTTCTGGGTTTACCCCAGGGTCTACCCCCAGTTAGATGTGCCTGGAAAAGATGCTCTGTTACAAACGTCAGGATATAGGAAACCTGTCCCAGTCAATCCCAACATATGAGTTATGGTTGGAGGTCGGGATGCACGATGGGTTGGTGATATTTTGTTACATAACAAAGAAGACTATGTGGTCTAATTTGGTATGGGCTACTTTTGAATAATTTTCACGCTCTCACAGTGCTTACTGACACTCATTTATCAGTGTGAACAAAAACTGAATATCGACATCGGTAATATTGGTTATCAGCAATATCAGAAATCTTAATATCGGTTATCGGTATCGGCCAGAAATTTTAATATCGTGCATCACTAGTTGGAGGCTATTAAACGTCACAGAAGTCTTTGTCATGGTGGCCAGTGGCTAGCTAAACCCCCACAATGCACTCCACTTGCCAACATGGAGCTTCTTGTAGTCCCAATGATCGCCTTCTCACATCGTATTAAACGGAGGAGAATCCTCCTAGTGGTACAAACAGGTACTACAGCTAATCTACATTAAAGAACAGCTTGGATGCAGAAATTTTGTGTTTTAAAAATCTATTGCAGAGCTATTCAGTTATCAAGCATAAACACTGGACTGATTTGAATAAGTTTAAGGTACTTGAAATGTATATTGTCTAGGAATATGGTGCTGGATTGGGAATCGGTATCAGACGATACTAAATTTGAAATGATTAATATACATATGATATATCTCATTTATAATATATGATTGGATTGGGGGCACCAAAAAATACAAAAAAATGATCAGGGTATTCCCTACTTACACCTTTGGTTACATGTGTCTGAACAAATTGTCCACACAGGTTCCACAACCAAGCAGACGTTGCTTTGTTTCCAGAAGCTCCATGTTCAAAAACTGGAAAGTGCTTCCACAGCTCTCACCTGTCAAATATCTCACAGAAACTGTTGAGGAAAAAACAGGGACAAGACAAAGCTAAATAAAGATAAATCCATATTTTATTCCATTCTCTCATTCCGATTTTCAATCCACAACAAATTTAAAGTGAGTCTCAGTCATTGCCATTCCCAGTGACAAACATGATCAGTATAAAACAGACAACAAAACACTGAATTTACATCACAGGCTCATGTCTGATGGAGTTTCATTCCAAAATAAACACCTTTTTTCCATTTTTCTTTTTTATCTTTTTACCTTGCTTACACTCTGAAGGGTCACCATATCTTTAAACATTTCAAAAATTGAAGGAACTTGCACCAGAATCAGGTGGTGATTTGAGACACGTTTGAAATGAAACTCCTCATTTACACCCATGTGGCTTTAAATCGCTGCTTTGGTGCCAAAAAAGCTAAACCCTCCGTTTCTTTTATACCTTAAGATCAGATCCAGGTGTGCAGCCAGATTTGAGTTTGCGGTGTAAATCCGAGTCTCAAGGCTTTGCGTCCACCAGGTGTTTCTTTGCAGGGAGCAGCTAAACAGTCCCTGTGTCACGGCTTCAGCGCTCACTACAGTATAAGACTGAAAAAAACAGACCGTTAGAGGAATTTTTTTGCTTTAAGTCGAAACAATTTGAACCTCTAGTGCTCAGTGCCGTAAGCGTTTAAATCATGCTAAGGCTGTCAGCACTGTGGGAAACATGCAGAGTGTCATTTCCACTGTAAACAACAAGAACAAGAAACCGATTCTGAGAAAATGCTCCCGGTGGACGCAGAGCCTCGTGTAGGTGCAACATAGGTTCCCAGTAACAGCGTCCTGCTTATGGAACAAATCTGTGGTTACTCGCAAACCAGACAAAAAAAAAGAAAAGATTTTTGACACGTTATGTAGCATATCAACCAATAGATGACAACATTTTCAATTAAAACAAGATTAGTGTTTTATATATATTACCAAAAGCAAAAAATATATTTATATAACATTTATTTTTATATTCCCTCCCTCCCAAGACAGAAAGAAAACAAAAGCAGTTTCAGTGAGGGGAAATGGGCGAAGTTCAGATTTCACCTCGTGTTAACTCTAAAGGGATTGTCACGAAAGGGATTCTGTGAGGAATCATCTGAACTCAACCTAATTTCTGCGTCGTAACTGAACAGGACACGATGTTTTCTGAGGTTAAAAAGAAACACAAGCCATCTACACTGGTGTGTTTTAATAAAGGGAGCACTGCGAGAGTTATTGTAGTTTGTGCCTTTCATCAGTAATGGAAAACAAATAGATTAAAGTGTCATGTTCCCCCCCCGATGAAAGCTGTGTATCTGTTAATTAAACCTCTCGTTTTTACAATTTACACAACTATCTAGAGATTACTGCTGAAAGAAACTACAAGTCGGGCCGTTTCATCAGACACCTGCAGAAAAAAAAACAAACAAGAAATGGAAGAAAAAGAAAAAAAAACAGAGGCTAAAAGTGAAAAAGATAGCAGCAAATGATGTAAGGAGCTAAAGGCAGCTGAAATAAACACACTTTTGTATCTGAAACCCATCAAATAACAATGTGGCAACAGAATGTAAGTGTAACATCAGAAACAAACCTGGCAAGCTCAACCCTATTTCACCCTTTTTCATTAAGCTTTGAACATATTTTCCCAGAGTCCGACTGCTCATCGCCAGGACACAAGATGGCGGCTGTGAAGTGTCCCAGATGGCGAGCGCAGTGAAGGCTCCTTCTGTTTCGGAGTTTTTAGGAAAATACATGGAGAACATCGACTATTTCCGATTAACTTGCATGCCAACGGAGCACTTTGAACTGAAAAATGAACATTATTTCCATCAGCTGGCACAGTTTGTTTAAAATTAGAGCAACTAAAGACACTGCAGAGGAATATCTTTCAGTAACAACATGACTTTTTTTTTTGTGTGTTTTTTTCTTACATCCGCTTTTCCATCTGTGAAAATGAGACGACTGAAGAGCGGGTAACAGAACAGCAGGTAACAGAAGAGCCGTGGCAGGGAAAAGTCTTCATCGTCATCCAACACTTTTATTTGCGCATGATGGGATTATTATGGGGTGTAGCTGGAGACTTCTGTGTGTGTGTGTGTTCGAATGAGCGTTCCATGTTTTCATGCCTTCAGACTTTTAATGCTGATGAATGTGTGGATGTGAGCTTCATGTTTCTGTCAGTGTCTGTGTGTTGGTTTGTCAGCAGCTGTCCTCCAAGGCGTTGACAACTTGTTCCAAAATGTCGGGGCATCGGTCGGCGATCTGCTGCAGGACCTGGTTGGCGTACTCCTGGAGCTCCGCCCCCTCCCTCTCACACAGTGCTAACTCCGCCTCCAACTGAGAGAAAGATAAAGAGGGAGGACATTCAGTAAACCAACATCTTCTGATACATACAATAAAGTAGCAAAGAAATATGAAAAAAAATATGCATATTCACTTTCTTGCCAAGTAGCGCTTCCTAGCCTAGCTTAGCATAAAAGTAAACAACAAGCTAAAGTAATTAAAGTATGTCTACCAGCACATCTTAATCTCATTAACTAACCGTCTAAACTCCAAGCAGTGTCTGGGTGTTTTTTGCTCTTGTCACTTTTTTTTTTTTAACTCACTGCAATATAAACTCCAGCATCTCTATGGAAACAGCACAAGAATGTCTAAAAGTAGAGAGAACTCACACACTTCTAAAACCATAAATCATAAAAAATGAATAAGCAAAAGTTGAATTTCTTGTCAATTTCCTCTGGATTCAGGATGTATAACATTTATCCAACTGCTCACGGTTGTTGCCAACACTGGAAAAACGGTGACTTCACATATTGTAGATATTTGACTGCTAACATTTCAAAGTATTTTCATACGTCTGCTCTTTTGGTCACAGTTGAGCCACCAGTTGCTTTGCCGTCGTGCAGCTTTTTTTTTGTATTTTAACTGAGTCTTGTGACTGCAAATGGTTTATATTTGGCAAATTTTTAAATATGACACGCAGTGGTTTTGATGAAATATCATGATTTTAAGCTCAGATTTTATACTTTTCTTCAGCTTAGTTGAAGGGCCAGTTGAAGCAGTTTCACAGGTTTTGATTTTGATAAATGGTGGAATTCTGGCGATTTATTACAGATGACATGCAAAATAAACCCACCGACCAGTTTTTGGATTTAGATAGTTTTCTTGGTTTCAATTTTTTGCTGTAACACTTATTTGGTGTTTGTACAGACCAAACAAATGCTGTATATCAGTGATTTTTTAGGTGTTGTCTGGCAGATATCGTAACTTTTATTCAGTGCCAGGCTGACGGTTTATCCCTAAGTCTTCATTGAACACTAAAAGCATGTGAACCATTCGTGGTCTGGACGCGCAGAAGAATGTATGTTTTTACAGGATACATTAGCGACATAGGCTTGTGTGAGTCACAGGCAAAACAATAAAGTGAGCTTTAGGATTGTTGTGTCTTCAGTTTTTGGACCCGGTCCTGGCTGTGAAACCTCAAGTTTTTCACTGAGTTTGTGTAACGTGTCTGCAGACGACTATGTAAGGGATGAAGTTTCTCAGCAACCATCAGCTCGTCCTGGCAAATAAATGCCAACAGGGGGATCAAGACCCCAGAGTTGAAGTGCTGTTCGATACAAAGTAGTAATTTCCTGAATACTGGTCGTTCTATTTAAAAATACATAAACATTACACACCACTTATGCGCTGCTCTTGCGCCTGTTTCAGCCGGTTTCATTAATTATAATGTAGGTGTAATGTTGCGGCAGCTGCTCCAACAACGGTCCCGGCATATGTATCCATAGTTTAACTCCTGCTATGCTAAGCTAACTGGCAGCTGGCTAAGAAGAAAGCAAACAAATGTGCTTCTCAAACTATTCTGTTACTGTGTTTTTCCCCAAAGTTGAGAAAGAGAAGCAAGATGAAGAGGGACATGAAGGAAAGATTAAAGAGTTTTAAATCCGATATCGCTCGAGCGCACCAAGTCGCACACACACACACACACACACACACACACACACATATCGGGCTGTAATCTGAAAACACCACAATGTAGTTCTTTCTGTTCGTACAGAGTGGAACATTTCTGTGAGAGAGCGGCTGATGTTATTTTCTTTGGCTGCAGCCGAGCTGAGACGTCAAACCTAACTGGCTTAATGACCAATACATCTGTATCAATAAGAGTGCCGCTCAAACAGTCGTGTAACACAAGCCCATATTTCTGTTGCCGTGTGTGTGTGTGTGTGTGTGTGTGTGTGGGTCAGATATTGGCAAATATTCTCTCGTTAAGTCTTAACCTCTTCCCTCTGCTCTCATCTCTTCGCCAGCAAATCTCAGCGGTATTTTATATTACAGTGGCTTTATTCATGTGTAAAACTGCTGCAAGTAATAACATTGTTAATGACTAATGAAAATCTACCCAATAAATCACATGCTAATGGAGCTGTTTATGTGTATATTATGCTGTTACATTATTTATTGGAGACATGCAACAGTCGTGTGTAGAGAGTTGTGGACGTTTACCACGCGGGGAAGCTTTCATGAAAGACACTGTCAGGTTGCATTTTGGGAACGTGCTTTGGAGCTCGGCCCGTACGAGGGAATAAAAGTCGGGATATCTCAAACCTGCTGCTTCAGTTTTGACTGTTTGTTTTTAAAAGCAAGTGAGCAACTTCTGGAGGTGTAATTCTAAACCGCTGAGAAGTTCCTTTAAGCTTGTGTCATTATTTCATACAGAATAAATCATTACATGCAGAATGATACACACAGACTAGGTGCCTGTTTTCATGTAATAAAACTGCTTGAATTTACTCACATTGTTTTGGAGCCTGTTATACATGCTGCCATTTATAACATAGAAACACAGAAAGAGAGAGCAAGGGTGAAGACAAGGAAATGAATGCGAAAGAGGGATAAAAATGAGGAGGTAGGGGAGAATTCGAAGCCAAACGCGTTAAGCAATGAGGCTCAACCACTGCTTTTTTTTTGCCTGTTATTTGTGTGTTTGTGTGCAAAGTTGGGCCCAATTTGGCCCATTCTGAAAGCTACATTAGCACCAGACAGCGGGAAACATCCCCCCACTAACCAAACACATATAACCACTCACACATTTGTTCTGTTATCCCCTTTGGGACAATCCATTGACATGATGCATTCTCTAACCTCAACACAGTCTCTCACCAAGATGTTCAACAGCTATGTTTGTCCAAAGTGCGAAAATGTATTGGTTTCACACGGAAAAAGGCGGTTGAATCGCGAGTTTTTGGCCAATTTAAGGAGCCTGGTGGGGTAGAGGTGGCATCGACCGCAGGCCTTTCATCTCCAACAGTGAGTGGGATCCAAGTCTGGTGTTGTCCCATTGTTTTGTGGCATTTTCATTCACTGTTTACATCTGTTTTCAGTGACTTTTTTTGCTTATGTTTCTGCAACAGAACTGCTTTGTTCAGTTTAGGCACCACAACTGCTTGGTTAAATTTACGGAAAAGATCATGGTTTGGCATAAAATACACCGATACATATTCTTTTCAGTCACAGTTTATTTTTAGTCGCTGTTTTTAGTTGCTGTTTTCAGTGACTGTTTGCTTTTATTGAACTACTTTAAGTTTAGGCACCAAAACTAGTTGGTTAACGTCAGGAAAAAGATCAGTGTTTGGCTTAAAATATAGCCGTGCATGTGTTTCACAGTCATTGTTTACTTTTGTTTTTAGTGACTGTTTTCAGTTCTTGCTTTATTTTTGTTTATGCTTCCAAAATGCTTGGATTTAGGGAATAAAACCATTGGTCAGGTTTGGTAAAAGGTCATGGTTTGGGTTAAAAAGCAAAGCAAAAAAAACACCATACAAAAGTGCACTGTTGTTCTCTAGGTTGCTAGGATGCTAAGAACCAGCCCAAGAAGAGTGTCTACAGCGTTTTATTTTTTTCAAATTATTTTTTATTTTTTTAAGAGAGAAAAAAAAACCCTGTTTTGCGTTGTGGACAGTTTCTAGAGAGACTGAGCTCCTCGCTCACTAAGCCTTTCCACACACAGAACATGCAGCTCATGAAACCGCCTCAAAACGCCGCCTTTGCTTGTGAACTGAACAAAGCCGACGTAATCAGAAGCAGCACGATGTGTCGCACAACAGCGTCGGTGTTCACTGTGTGCATCCTGTCCTGATTATACTCTTGAAGCACTTTCACCAGCTTTTCTAATAAAAGGCCATCGTTTACCATCCCTGGGGCTAATTTCATCCTCTCCTCAGAGGGGAAGCAGCTCATGAACCTACTTGTCTCCCTAATTCACAGCCATTTTCGACATTAGCGTCGTACAACGTCATCAAAACGTCACACTCCTTTGCCGTAATGTCGCTGTCCCTTTCAAGCAGGCGTAAATTTGTGACTCGCTCGGCTGGTGGCTTAGAAGTGCACCAACAATGCTCCCGTCCATTCCGTCTCCGTACCGTTCACACATAACAGCGAGGTGGAATAAAAGCACCACTTGAACCGACTTCTGACTCATCCACGCTTTCAAGGTGATGTAAGCAGGAAACACATGCTTTGCTTTGTGCAAACCAAACAAATCATTTGCGGAAAGCTACGAAACAATCCTTTGGGATCTTCATTCATGAGAAGAAAACATCGAAAAACCATCATCGAGTTTGAAGGAATCGCCATCGTTACCAGGACAACATGACAGATAAACAAAACCAGAGGAGCATGATGAGTTCTGAACACGTAGTCCAACTTTTATCATCGTTATCACCTGGAGTTTTATCTGCCATCATTGGCTACACCTTGATTTTTATCATTTCCACCATTTTTCACTCCCCCTCCTAACCGTCTGAACACCCTCAGGCCAAAACAGACCTGCATGTGTGCCAGAAAGAATCAGAGAGCCACATTTCCCCGTGAAGCACAGCAACATTTTCTAACATGTCAGCATGACTGTGTTTGCAGGTAATTTAACTTAATGGCTTTGCATTTTAGCTGCAATCCCCCAGAAAAACACGGCAGTAAAGATAAGGTTGTAAAGACGATTGAGAAGAGATAAACGGTTTAGTATGTGTCTGCTGTCTTCTGCTCTCTGACGCACACAGCCTTGACCTGTACGAACAAAAAACACTCAAAAAAAATGCTTAAAAAAATCAAGATTAAATGGGTCAAACACAGCTCGAAAACGGCTCTGTGCCTAAAACACGATCGCCTGCACCAAATGTAAAAAATATGAGCGACACTGCCATGATATGAAGTTCCAGCATGATCCATGGTTCATCTGTTTCGCCTTAAAATAGTCGATCAGTAATGTCTTAAGGAAATCAATAAGGCATGTTGGGAATCACCTCAATCAGCTTACTTGATGAAAACCAGCAGAGCCG